TTATACGCACAATCCGGGAAAAAATATATCTTATATACGAGGGTCGTCTGAAAAGTTTTGAGCCTCATCATGAAAATGGCGTTACTCGTCAAAGTCATTCTGGTATTATTATCATGATATTTACGAAAAATATCTGTGACAATTGTAGCCACTTCGAACGTTCAGTTCTTGTTTAACAATCATTTGTGTCGTCATTTTGTAAAAATGGAAAAAATTGAATATCGTGCTATAATTAAATTCTTACATTTGAAAGGCAATACGTCTACGCAAATTAAAGCCGAGTTGGACGCTGTTTACGGGGACTCTGCCCCATCATTTGCCACCGTGAAAAGATGGGTAGCTGAATTTAAACGTGGCCACTTCACTCCTGAAACGAAAGAACAATCAAAACAGTGGACTGCGAAGGGTGAACCTGTTCCGAAGAAAGCGAAGACGATTTTATCGGCGGGAAAGGTGATGGCGACTATTTTTTTGGGACAGTCATGGAATTGTGTTGATCGACTATCATGAAAGAGGTAAAACAATAACAGGGACGTACTACGCATCATTGCTTGACAAGCTGAAGGCAGAAATTGAGAAAAAAAGACCGCATTTGAAAAAGAAGAAGGTGCTGTTCCATCAAGATAACGCACCGTCTCACATTTCGATTACTATGGTAAAAATTCACGGATTGCGGTTCGAATTAATTGGCCATCCACCGTAATTCATCAGATCTGGCCCCTAGCGACATTTTTATGTTTCCTAGGCCCAAAGTTTGGCTCGGAGGACAGAAATTTTCATCGAACGAGGAGGTCATCGCATCCGTAGACGCCTATTTAGCAAAGCAAGACGCTCAGTATTATTTGAATGGATTAAAGGGGTGGGAGCATCGCTGGAAAAAATGTATCGACTTAAAAAAGGAGATTATGTGGAAAAATAAAATTGAATTTGACCAAAAAATTACTTGTTTCTATGTTAGGCTCAAAACTTTTCAGACGACCCTCGTAATTATATATAGGTAGAAAATATAAAAAATGTAAATATAAAATTATATAAAAAATTGACATATATTACATACAACTACATGTACATAAGACAAGAATTTTGTAAATTCCAATCACATTTCCAGAAACTTTTTGCGATTTCTTTCTAAAAAAATATTATAAGATTGACTAAATAAATTATAAGTATACATTTTGAATAATTTTAATTTAAGGATAAATTAAGTAACGCGCAGCCGTTGTACAACGGATTCTCGCCGCGACCAAAAGTACTGAAATTGTAAACAACTATCGCGATATTTTCCGCAGCGAGAAACCGTTGAAATTGCTCAATTTCACGAATTCCGCATCCCTCCTCGGGAATCGTGATACCCGCAGAAATCGTTAATTCTTTAGCCAACTCGCGTTGTAAAGAAGAACGCTGCTGTCTCACGGATTCTTATCTTTCATGTAGTTCCCCCACGCGTAACTGCCCGTGATCGTAATGCACGCGTGCCGCTACAAGCGAACGGGGAAAACATAAATTGTCGGAATTGGCAATTTGTAAAAT